CGGGGCCCGGGCTGAGGTCCCCAATGGGGCGGGCCACACGCCCATGGACTGTGCGCTGCAGGCCGTCCAGGACGCCCCCAACTGGGAGCCCGAGGTCCTCTTCGCCGCACTGCTGGACTACGGGGCCCAGCCTGTGCGCCCTGAGGTGAGGTGCGCTGGGAGACCGAGATAGGAAGCTCCTATGTAGGGGAGCCCACGGCTGGAACTACTCAGCCTCTGGGGAAGAGGGTCCAAGAGACTGAAAGCCCGCCCTCAGTGGCCAGGGGGCTGTCCCCAGCTTGGGAGGGGGAGAGAGGATTCCGGGAGAGAGTCCAAAGGAGGGAAGAGCCCCAGAGGAAAACTGGGGCCAAAAGGTTTGAGCACTTGAGGGTGGAGTAGACAGAGGCACAGAAACGGGAAGAGAGACTCAGATCTTAGCCCCCCAGATTAGGCTAGGATTGGCCATGTGGGTTAGGTGAGACTTGGGTATGCCCTCGGCTGGGGGAGGCATGTGCCCAATACCCTCTTTTAACCCCTAGATGCTGAAACACTGTGCCAACTTCCCTCGGGCCCTGGAAGTCTTGCTTAATGCCTATCCCTGTGTCCCATCCTGTGAGACCTGGGTGGAGGCGGTGCTCCCAGAACTGTGGAAGGTATGTCTGCCTCAGGGCCGAGATGGGGAGGAGGGATGAGCCACAGGTCTATTCCTTCAGGATCAGCGTCATGGAGGGAGCAGCAGGAGGGTCCCTGGGTAGAGAGGATGGGTAGAGTGGCACCCCTGAGTTTCAGGGTTCCCCCTCCTCCTGGTACCCCAGGCTGACCCCCTAACTCCACACACCTCTCCTGCCTCCCTCACTTGCATCAGCACAGACATTTATCTGGCATCTCTAACTTGGTGGGCATTGTGCTAGCCTCTCTGGGGTGGGAGTGCGTGCAAACATAGTGAAGACCCTTCCCTGAAGTGGAGCCCCAGCCCCCATTATCACTGCAGGGCCTCTATGGTTCTGAATCTGAGTCCTTTGAGACACACGAAACACCCAGGTGGGTGCATGCTGCAAAATTCCAGGACCCTCACCACTGGGTTGCCCCCAGATGGTAGGGCAAGGGTCATCTGACCCTCTTTTACTCCTGGCCTAGGAGCACGAAGCCTTCTACAGCTCGGCCCTGTGCATGGTGAACCAGCCAAGGCGGCTGCAGCACCTGGCCCGACTAGCTGTGCGCGCTCGGTTGGGAAGCCGCTGCCGGCAGGATGCCACCCGGCTGCCACTGCCCCCGCTCCTCAGGGACTACCTGCTGTTGCGTGTGGAGGGGCGCATCCAGTGAGCCCCATGTCAGGCTGTCCCATGGTGTGTTCTGCCCTTCCCACCTGTTCCTGCCTCCAACCCCGGAGGACCAGTTCCTGGCCCTCTTTTCTTTTTTTTCTTTTTCTTTTTTTTTTGAGACAGAGTCTCGCGCTGTCGCCCAGGCTGGAGTGCAGTGGGGCTATCTCGGCTCACTGCAACCTCCGCCACCTAGGTTCAAGCGATTCTTGTGCCCCAGCCTTCCAAGTAGCTAGGACTACAGGCGTGAGTCACCACACCTGGCTTTTTTTTGAGACAAAGTCTCGATGTTGTCCAGGCTGGAGTGCAGTGACAGGATCTTCGCTCACTGTAAGCTCCGCCCCCCGGGTTCACGCTATTCTCCTGCCTCAGCCTCCCGAGTAGCTGGACTACAGGCGATCACCACCACGCCTGGCTAATTATTTTGTATTTTTAATAGAGATGGGGTTTCACAGTGTTCACCAGGATGGTCTCGATCTCCTGACCTCGAGATCCGCCCACTTTGGCCTCCCAAAGTGCTGGGATTACAGTCGTGAGCCACTGCGCCCGGCCTAATTTTTGTATTTTCAGTAGAGAGGGTCTCACCATGTTGGCCAGGCTGTTCTCGCACTGACCTCAGGTGATCCACCTGCCCTGGCCTCCCAAAGTGTTGGGATAACAGGCATGAACCACCGC